TTAGCAAGAGCCGCAGAATATTTAGGTACAGTTGGACAGAGATTTAGCAGCCTATTCTGTTTATTTCCATGTGACAAATGAATCACTCCTGGCTTTGCTGTCAGTCATGAGTGTATTACAGTGACTTACCAATGACCCTTTTTACCGACAAAACCAGCTCATAGTGTCACAGTCAGAGCCCATCACAAAGAACATACAGGTGTATGTGTGTGTGTGTGTCCCTTTAAGACCTGGCCTCAGGGCATACAGCAGTATCACCTCTATGGTCAAGTCTTACCGGGTTTGATCAGTGTGTACCAAGTGTGTCCAATTCCAGTCAAGACACTTGACCCTGGTGTTTGGGAACAAGCCAAGATTCAGGAGATGTGCAAAGATATAGGAGTTGAATAGGTGGGAAAAGGCTCCAAGGTGAGGCTTGACTGTCAGTCAAAACCTGGCTGCCTTTCCCCGGATAAAAGGTCCGACTCATTGCACACAATTGGAGCATTCCGGAAAAGAAACAACGAGCCTATTCTGCTTGTGCCCTCGGTGAAATGAAAGGGGAAAAACAAATCTGTGTTAACATCTTCTGCTGCAACAAGAAGCAAGCAACTACATGTGCTAAAAAACACAGCGACTTTGAATAGCCTTCAATCTACCAACTGCTCAAACCGCTGAGCCTTCAAGACCTCATTTTTCATCAGCTCAATTACTCGACAACTGTTCTCCTCCTGGCCCCACCCCTCCCTCCCTGCCCCATCTCCCCCCTGCTTAGTTGGAAGTGATCATTTGTTCTTTTATTAAAGTTGATAACATCCCTTGCATTGTCTGAGCGTGCATGCTGGAGAGCCGCCCCTACTGTTCTAGCCTCCAGCATTTCATATTATTGGTGCATTATTTCACGCATGCCCTCCTCTTTTATCAAGCGCTTTTGAAGTAATGCTAATAGACTAGAAAATTGAAACATTTGTGAAGTATGGGCAATGTTTATGAAAAAATCCATAAAGTATGACAGGGGGAGAGGTGAGATAAAAGCAAGGTTGTAATAGATTATGGCAAACAGGGGAGAGGCATCAGATTCTGACAGGCACCTCCTCCAGGATCTATCATATTTTATGGGATTAAATTTAGTTGTATTTGAAATGAAGTTAACTGTCTTAATTAATCTCTTTGTGCTGCACGAATACCTCCCTCAATGCTGATACATGAGCGCACACTGTTTTTTAGCTAATTACTCTTCTGTGGTAATTGGGGTGGATGTAGTTTCTGCATGTGGGCTGAGGAAGTTTGGGAAGGGGGGGATATTTGTTGTAGTGGCCAATGAAAGGTTATTGAATTTTGCTTGCTGGCTTTTCCCCACCTTTTATCTTTTTTAACAGCTCTGAAACGGTGCAAGTGAAAATAAACTGTAAAACACGAGCACTTACCTTAATTTCTTCTATTCATCACTCATTTTTTTGCTTACATTTCAACCACAAACTCCTGTAATATATAAGCACACTTCACATAAAAGCCAGAAGGAAAAGCCTGGTGGAAAAAGGCATTGTCGTTCAGATGTTTTTGTGTACAGCTGATTCAGCTGTCGTTACATAACCACAATGGCTACGCTCAATTTAGAGCAAGTTACATTTCAGCCTAATTTCACTCATCCTGAGCTGTCTTTTGCTCTCCAGTTAAAATTTTAAATAATACTTTAAAAAAACTTTAGAAAGTGCTGTTTTGACATTAACAGCATCCTATGATAATAGCAATCCTTAAGCTTAAGTCTGTTTTATTGAGCATGGCTGGCCCACCAAACAAACGTTACCTGACTTCTAAACTGAAGTTTAACCCAATCTTATATCTAGATTCATATAAGAAGTTTTTTTTAGACTCAACAGACTGCCTGTGCTCACTCCTGCCATCAATGTTAATAGGCAGCGTCAGATCCACTTCTCACCTGATGCCTCACAGTCCACTTTGACAATTTCCAAAATTCAATGCAAATCCTATAGTCGTCTTGTGCAAGACAATCTCCCACAATATTGACTGTCACTCACAATTAGGGGGCTGAAGCAAGGGGTTGTTGGTGAACGGCAACCCGAGGCTGGTTCAGTCAGCTCCCTAAACACACCCTGCAGAATCTGATCAGTGAGTATAATTTCCCTGTAAATATCCCAGGGGTGAGCCACTTACCTTAACAGGAAAGAGGAGATGTTTAACAACCATTCAACTGATAGTCCTTCTGTTCAGACCTGCTTTGGCTATTGTGTTTACCTCTATAAATCTGCCTCCAAAGGGAATGCAACCAAATCGGCAACATTAATTCAAGTAGACGTGGAAAAAAAAGAAAAAAGAAAAAAAGAAACCTGCTGTTTGAGACCCCCGATGCCCACACTGACTTTAATAGTTGATAGACCAATTCAATTTGTCTGCCTGCTTATTGGCATAATCTTCTATCATTAGTGCACATGCATTTCTTTTGAAAAATAGAGTAAACCGATGGCTTTAAAAAATGGACCCATATGATCTTTCCTGTTTTGATAATTCAAAAGAATGGTTTAAAATGCTGCAATAACTATTATGTCCTTTAAGAGGATGCCATAACTTGGCTTTTTGTCTAATAACAGGATTTGTTTTTTGATATTTTTCAAACAAAAGAAGATCTTTGAAAATAGCCTTTGTATTTTTAAAAAGTGATACTATTTGCAATTTAAGTAAAAATGTGCAGATGTCGTCTATGAAAAACAACAAATAATTTCAAGTACATCCTCTATAAAAAAGACACCAAAAAAACATTTATAGCTAGAACTCTGAAGCTTCCGCTCTCAAAATAATTAAATTAAATTATACTACAATAAATAATGCGGTCCAGCTCTAAACATGTGTCAGTAATGCACAGAACAATACGAAGCAGTGTAAAAACAAAGCATAAATTAGTTTACAGTTTTCGTCTCCGTAGCTTGCGGCTTTAAACTAAACCGAGGCAGTATTATATATCAACATGCAATACACCAAGAGCCCCCCAGCTTTGACATTATAAAGGTTAACTAATTCTTTAAATCATGTCAGATCTGAATCTGTCAGCTTGCCAGGCCAGTCGACATTCAGTCAGCTTGCCATTTCCAAGAGCTGACGCTGAGAGACATGACAAGCCAAGCAGACAGATGAAGAGATGGATAGAGTTTGAAAGTCCAACATCCATCACATGCCAGTGTGCAACCCAGTTCCCCTCTACCTCCACCAGTAGCAACTCTAGAAGCAGAGACCCACTGCAGCTAAGTTGTGCAGGGCTATGTTCTGTCACCTGCCATGTGCTGCCTCTCAAACCAGCAGAGACAGAAGAATAAACCGCTTCCAAAATAGTTGGACGGTAAACATTGCATTGATTCATTTACGGCTCAATTTAACTGAACTACATTCACATGGTAAGCATAAATAGAGAGCTAACCAGAATTGTTCAATTAAGGCAACCCAGATTTAATCTATCCTTTAACTTACAGCTTAACTTGCTCTTCGAAGCCATCATTATAAGAAGATTTATTCTTTAGCATAGCTTTAATGGCCTTTTATTTACCAATTCCACAGAAAATGAATGTGACAGTTCCAGTGCTATTTGGTCTAAAGCGACAAATCTTTCTCTTTGTGTTTGCTGGTACCCTGTCGCTATGGAGTTTCGCAGCAACAGTCACCACGGAAAAAACTGTCATTTAGATGGAGACAACGTCGTACTGGTGAGAGATGAGGAAGGTCTGCACGCTTGCTCACAGCAAGGGGGTAATTGTATCACTATGTAAAACTCTCAAGCAGCACTGAGGAGTTGTTAATACATTTTTGATCAAATTAAGCCATTGTAGCGTGGAGGAGGCATCGGCACATTGAGAGAGCACGCAGGGGTCGTACAAAGTGCCATGCACAGCTCTGAGAAAGCAAACTGCTCTCATTGTTTTCTCAAATTGCTATGAATATGAATGATAATTGGAGGAGTGAGAGATTAGACTGTTTTCCAGAGGCAACAGTGCATGCACACAGCTGACTTTAATTTCATGTCTCAATGAGACTCCATTGAGGAAATCAAACACTGCTGGCACGTTAAAAGCAAACCTGACTCTGTAGGATAGATCTCAGGAATCCGGACTGAACTTCAGTGACACACTGCTGAGATATGCCGTCAAGCTCTGAACGGATGGCTAATCCACACATGTTCTCACTCATAGGCGGATTTGGCTGCAGGATCAAGGACAGTGTGGAGGAGATGGACACTATCCTTGTTGACAGTACCTTGACAAGTGTAATCCTATATAATACACACCGGGTAAACACAACACCAAGCCAACCGTGCAACCGCGGCCCACACTTCCTCTGCTCTGCCTTTGAATTCTGCATTCTTTCTGGGTTGGAAACAATTTAAAAGACATGCAGCTTTACAAACAAGTGCAAAAGTAGATGCAAACTGCCCACTTTGAAAAGGATGCATACTTACACGTATAGAAAAAAAGCACTCATACAAACAATGAGTTTCACAAAGCAACCATCATATGATGTGACACATTCATCTAAATGTAAAAAAACATCTAGAAGAGAGACATAAGAGATGCAAAACCAAAGATCTTCATGTAAGCTGATATTTTCAATTTGCTCTGTGAAAGCAAATCATGACAACGCATCTTAAGAAGTCTACGCAAGCTTGATATTTAAGCAGGTTAAGCCTCTTCTTCCTTTAGCCATCACTAAAACTCCTCAACTCATTCACATTTGACCTGTTTTACCTGGGAAATATTATTGCAATTTGCAATATTGCTTTTGATCAGTAAACTAGAACTGAGACAGGAAAATAACTTATTGATAAAAAAAAAGAATTAAAATAAATAAAGTGTTGCAACTGAGTTAACAATAACCAGTAATGATCGAGTACATACAATTTACTATTTCAAAACATTTCTCCAAATACAGACATCCTCTCATTTCCTTTGCAGCCACAACAGTATCAATAGAAGCGCGGCTGCCCTCCAGCATCCCCGTTGGAGGTTTTTCATTCTTACCCTAAGGGCCTGGCTGTATGGCCCAATGTTAGCTGGGGCCCAGTGGGACAGGCTCTGGACATGTAGGGTCTCTCTCTGCTTGAAGCAGCCCTCCTCCAAGGGCTCAGTCCAGTCATGGAGCAGGAAGTCCATCTGCAGCTGCTGGCCGGCTGGCAGAGGTGCCTGGACACACACCCTACATGAACGTAGAATGTAGAACGAATGTTGACATGTGAAGAAAAGATGGAACAATAGAGAAACAAAGGCAAGTCTGAATACAATGCAGAAGAAAAAAGGTGTCCAACTTTACCTAGCAGGGGGGTTTGTGTCAAAGTAATTCTTATAAACTGCATTAAGAGACACAAAGTCCTGAATGTTCCTCACATATAGGTGAACCAAGACGATATTCTCTATCTTCCAACGCCTGCTGTCCAATTCACCTAAAGATAAGGGACATATTTTAACAGAAGGTAACATTAAACAAATTACTATAAAAAAAATTTATAGGTACATTTATCAGTGGACTGTAGTGTCCTACTTTAGCTTAAATTCAAATCAACGAACTGTTCAGTCATGTTTATAATGTTTTATTAAAATGATGGACAGCATAGAACTTTTGCATGACATTGAAATCCATTGTTTTCACATGGTAATTGTGAGCCCCTTGAAAAAGAGCAGTCTAGGACAGTATGCATGCACACTGTAGGGTTTAGATGCAAACGCAGGCACAAGGGCTCAAAGCAAAGCCTCTCTCCCTACAATCATCTGAAAGAGCTTCAAGTTTGTTTTTCCTTTGCCAACACTAGCATCTCAGACTACTTCGCCCTCATACAAAGAGGCAGTTCATTAAATATTAACTTGTTTAATATTGTCTCTGCACTGTGAAAGCTGTTCAGCCAAGCACCACCATAAACATTAAATATGCTTTTCATCTTTTGCTCTTCTATCTCCATCAAAAAGCGAGAAAGAGAAAAAAGACTGAGATACACTGTAAAAGTGTGCACGTTTTTAACTTCTGCAGGGCAAAAGCAATAACTCACCCAACGCGCCTGCACTGTGTGTGCGAGTGCGTGTGTGCGCACAAAAACTCGGGGTTTCGGATTAATTTGAAATGCTTGTCCTTGTTTGGTGGCCAGTGAGCTATCCTGTTCTTCTGACAGACAGTCTTTGACACACAGGGTTTGTCTGCTGAGCTGACAAGTGCCTCTGAGAAAAGAACAAGTTCTCAAGCTCTACCACTTATCTTAGTGTGCGTCGGGCTACACCAGCGAGAGTAAAGAAAGATCCACGAGACAGAAAAGCTGATCCTTAGTGTTTTCTTTACCTCTTTTAGACTTGTAGGAACCTGCTCAAATTCTCTCTGAACAAAAGAAAAAGATGTATTACCTCTTCTCGTTTAACCAGAGTTTGGAATTTTTTTATCTTAGAAAAAACAAAAAGGTTTACCTGTTTTTTTATTTATATCCTATCTGTAGTGAGTTACGTATGTTTCTACAAGCATGTCTGGTACGCCATGTTTGAAAAGTTTTAACTGTCTTCTGAAACTGATTCTTTGACACCTTTCCTTACTTTGCAACTGTGTGAAAGCTGCCAATGTCTGGCTCTCAATCCCAGGGTCTTCACTCTGAAGCCCATTGATGCCACAGATCCACTGATAACCTTTGGAGCTCCTAGGTGAGCAGGATGGAGAGACATCTGAAACAACAGTTATAATGCCATGAAGAAAAAAGCAATTGTGAGTTTGTACTTTGGACATACCAGAAACAGCCATAATAAGGATCGTGCTTGATCAGAACTTTAAAGAAATTCAATAGCAGCGTATTTATTCCTGGGACTAGTAGTTCTAACCATTTTATGTTTAAAATGCAATTCATAAGTGATTTATGTATGCAGAGACATTAATTCAGACTGTCTAAAATGGCAGCTCTTGTCAAAGAGTCATTCAAAAAGACTGGAATCATGATGCTTGATGTATATGACACAGATTGGAGGAGTGCACGCCAAACAAAGATAACATTTGACACACATAGACATGAATAAACACTCATGCATGCATGTCAGCATGTGTGTGTATCACAACAAATGAATCTCACCGTGGCCCCACTGACAACTAAGGTCACAATCTGATGTAAATTTGTGCTGGTTGTCTTCGACTTGATCAGCATATTTCACCTCCTCAGTCATCTTGTCAATGGCGCTCTGGCAAGGACAACTACCATGGGGCAGAGCTCTCGTCACCACATCCTGCAATGAAGCACCACAGGGAATACATCAGGCCAAATGCCCACCAAAGAGCACAGAGCATTTTGCAAAGATAGACAAAATGCTGTATAATTACCCAACCTTTTCAAATATCCCACCAAGCGGGCCGCGTGTGTGTGTGTCTGTCTCTCATGGCAAAAGACCCAGACACACATAACTTCAAGGTGAATGAATATGAAACAACATGCTAACATATGCGTTGCTCGGGCGAACAGGGAGTGGTGTTTTCTGATACTGTAGATTCAATCACGCTGGCTGTCAGTCAAAACTCATGACTAGACGTGTGAGACATGTTTTGGATTTCACCATTTTTTTTTCCTGTCCTGTGTTTACTTACGCTTCTTTAAATAACAAATCATTACCATTCTCTGAGGCAAACATATTACTTGCCAAATCTTGCCGGGGTGTCACGCATTTTAAATGCATATTTCATATTTCCTCAGTGCACCCCTCACTCCGCCCAACACTCATTCACCCCCCTCGTCTGCTGTCAGCCGCATTAGGCCATATGATAATCAAATTAATTATACTTCAGCCCCTCTCTCCTGGCCAGCATGAAAAATAGCTTGACTAGCATTAACGGAGGGCAAATGATGGTGGTCCTTCCCCACCCCCTGAGCTGGATGCAGTTTCCTCTAGTGCTGGTGTCACCGCGGATCTGTCACCCTGACGAGAAAAGCTTCAGAAGGCTGAACCGGGGCAGGTTCTCCCCTGGTTGGCCCCCCTCCACTCCCCTCCCCTCCTGCTCTTGCAAGCTCTGGTTCTCCCTGCTCTTCCCCCAGCAACCAAAGAGGGAGTACGTGTGTGTGTGTTTGTGTGATGGGGGTGGGAGTGGCTGCATGGGGAGCAGAAAAAAAATACATAGCTTTAGGGAGTGAGGCTGCAGGGTCACAAAGGATGGGGGTATGTTTTCTGTCCATAATAAACCCATCCCCCATCTAACATGAAGATCTACAGTACTTACATCAAGCTTTCTGCACATAAACACAAAATCATTATTGTGTGCCATGCAAAGAAACACATGCAAACTCACAAACTCTGCCCTACAGACATGTTGATCCCCATTGTAACCCTTGCCCCCACCCCCACCTTCTGGCAACTAATATATGGCGTACATGCCGTCTGCAGGAACACTAATCTGTGTCGATGATACTTATTAAACCGGACAATTAGAAACGGGCTAATTAAAAGACAACTTTAAAAAGTTCAAAAGATCAACCACACGTGTTCTTAGATTCACTCAAAGCTTCTCAAGTCATCTGCTCTTGCAGGGGGAAAATATTTATCAGGCTTCTAGTCTGCAAGGCTCAATTCAGGCACCAATTTACCAAAAGCCAATTCCTATTCCCTCCCTACAACCCTAGCCTGTGTCTGCTTAGCCAGCTACCTGAATGCAAAGTGCCTTAATGTGAGTGGACATGTTTATTAAGCTAGGCCTAGTTTCGGGCTGCAGCGAATATTGCAGACGTCAAAGTAGGCCATGTGGGGCTAGAGGAACATGAGCGAGGGATGAAGGGAAAGACCAAGAGCAAGACTGTGTGAGACTGAGTCTCGAAAGGCCCTCTGGAGGTCGATCCAAACCCTGCCCTGCAGTGCTGTGCTTCTCCTCTCTTCGACAAAGTTATCAGACACCAGAGGGTTTTGTTCTCATATTTGTTTTGCCCCGAAAGTAGGTTTAGAGTCATCAACCCAAAAGCCGCTCAAACTTTTTCCCGTAAAATTATTGATGGGGAATTGAATGGCATCGATCTGATTTGCGTTACCCCTGGAAGTTTGACTCACGCTGTCTTTGTTCTCTGTGTGCATGCTGGTGAAGCGCAAGTAGCCAACTGGAGCAAAGGCATCTGCTGAGTGGATCACTGTCTCTGCTGCATCACTGCACAAATGCACAAAAATTCCAGAAATTCTTGGGGAAAAAAAAACATTACCTTCCCAGGATTCTGCTGCCACACGCTGAAAAGAAGTGTGACTAAGCCATTCTTTCTACTCACATGACTATCTTCTTTTTGAAGAGAGGACAATCAAGGGTGAAGGTCTCATATTCACCTCCTTCTCCACATATATGGACTCCGTACTTTTGGGACAGCTACACAACAAAACATGCAACTTGATTATAGAATATTTGAGTGAAAGAAACATGCTGTGCTGAAATTAGTCATTTTAATCAACAATTTTAGCAACAGTGGACCTATAAGGCATATAAGTAGCCAGAAAGATGGCAGCTGTCAGCCACTTGTTTGTGTTTGGTGATTTTAAAAGATTTAAAAGATTTAAGATCAGAATACTGACTATCCCCCTCTTACTTTTTTTTTTTTAATCAGACATTACAAGTGAGGGGAGTAGCACCATGAACTGCGAACAAAGATGGTCAATTACAAGGTAACCATGTTCTAAGGCATACTTTTCCTTACTGTCCATTTGACTCTAAAGAGGAAAGTGTTTCCTGAAAAAAACATGGAACAGGTGCTATACTCTTTTTCCTTTTAAATATAGACATTCATATATCAGTATGGTTCTAAATCGGGCTACAATATAGTCCATTTAAATTAAAAGACAAAACAGCAAATCCTTCTCACCCCTCAGCCTATGTTATCCAGGGACCAATCAGATCCCGGCCCTAGATTTTCGCAGCCCATTGAGTTCTCGGCTCATTGGTGCCTTAATTTAATTTGTTTCAATTTGTAATTTGTGACGACAGATGGCACTAAATGCATACCGAATACAACCAAAACTTTAGAGAAAATATCAAATCCAATTTAAGTAGTAGTTAAATAATTAATTGTAGGAAGGTAACTTGGCTCACAGGGATATATTCTTATCATAAAAAATAAAAAAGTTAAAAAACTAAGAATAGAAAAGAAAAGGTAAAAGCTTGAACAGAAATTAATTACTTAAAATTGTTTTAAAATCATTGACAACCTCAAATGTGAACATAATGTAATAAATAAAATAAACTACAGTATACTGTCATGATGTCATGAGTTAAATATAGTATCTGTGACCTGTTTCAAATAGGGCTCCACATCAGCCAGGGATTTTCCTAAGTGCTTCTCAGGATCCAGGCCTGGCATCCGCATGGAGAAAAAAAATATATATATACACAACACAACATAAACAGACAGAAATACAGAACCAAATACCATTTCACACAGAAAAATGTTCAAGAAAGAGAGAGAGAAAAAAAAAAGTCTGATCAGAAACCGAAAATGGTGATTGAAGATGACAGGCGAGGAGATTTACGGGCAGTCGCACAAACAGACTTGGAAACCGGCAACCTGGATCTATTTGTTTGACTCTGCAACTAGTGTACACAGCTCTCTCTGGATAAGGCCAACAATTTTCAATTGATGGCCACAGACTCCCCCTTACAAACACTTTACCACCAAGCATATCTAGTTCCCCATGACAATGTAAACTCTGGAAAGAGATCTTGTTTATTTGCCTTTTTCCTCCCCTTCCCCTGAAATGGTGCTGGAAGTGACTCACAGGCAGGAGAGAGGGAAGAAAAGGATGGTGTGAGGTTTGCTCTGCATACCCGGGTGCCACACTCCAGAAACACAGGCTCAAAACACCCCCCCCCCCCCCCAAAAAAAGACAAGTAATGCAAACCAACCATGTAGCTGCCGAGGAAAGAAAAACAGCAAAAATACAAATATCTATTTGCCTTTTCATAAGAAATACTAGCTAAACTTCTAGATCAAGCTGATGTTGGGATTGTTGTTGGGATGTAGGAGCATTTTGTTGAGCACCGGAGGTCCCGACTGTACCCTCTACACATCCTAGTTTGAGCCCAGCAGACTGAACTCCGCCTCACCCTGCTTCACCCTTCACAGAGAAAGTGCACCCTACAACTTCCTACAGCACATTTTTTACCATCCCGACAAAAAGAAAAAAATACCCAGAGTACCAGGTGCTTTCGACAAAGAATAGAACAATAAAAACATAACAGGACATGAATGTAAAATACAAAATTTGAGGAAATTCCAAACCATGTACTTATTTGCTTTTGCCCCCGCATTTAGCATAAAACAACAGATGGTTATCTTAAAGCACGAGGGCAAAGTTACTGGAACCAAATAAGTGTATCCCGTTAGTCACCGGCAAATTCCTCATCTGCCAGCTAGGAGACTCACATCGTTGTTCGCCAGCTACTCGTGACCTATAATACCAAGTGATGTGCAATTGTGACAGTGATGCCTTTGCAGTAACAAAAGAACTCACCGAATTGGCCTAATTATTTCCCTGAAAATCCAATATCACTCCTCTACACCCAGACATTAGATATCTTATATCATTGGCATGTCCATGTGTTCAATTAGAAGAACAAAGTTAATCGTAATGTGAGAATCCCTCTTCTCTCATGGCCTGACAACCTCAAAGGTTAATGTGTCATTTGTGGCCCCCATGGGGAGCAGTGGGTGGGAGACTAGAGAGGATGGGAAGAAGATGTGAAGGAGGGATGTCGCATCCCATCCCGGGTTCATCTTAATCCCAGATGTGTCTATCCTCCGGGCCCCCACGGTCCAGCGCTAGGGGAAGAGACAGAGGTCCGCAGCAGTGGGAGGCAGGGTGAGGGAGGAGAGGCAGGGTGTGGAGGGAGAGAATGAGCAGGCCCTTATTCTCTTCCCAGGGGATCTGTGGTCTTAATTAGTGTGAGAATATCTAATCTCAACATCCTCTCATCTTAACCCTGCCACAAAGGTAATAAGGAGGGTGAAAAAAGGCATTAAAATTCAATCCAATTTAAATATCCTCTTTAATTAGTCATGCCTTTTAACAAATTTTAATAATTGGCTCCAAATTGCTGTGGGGATACAAGGTTTTTTTTTCCTTTTTAATATGTTCATTAACTTCCCAGCTCTTAAATAATATATGACACAAGATTTGATATTTACAAGGAGGGAAGAGGACCACAGAAACTTAGGACGACAGGAGTGAGTGATAAAATGATGCCAATATAGCATTAATGGGAAAAGATATCTATCAAGAGCACTTAGCACTTGTATGAATGTTTTCTTAATTGATGTTCTTGTCTTAGTGAAGGTTAGTCAAACCGTTTGGTCATGAAGGCAGGTGGGATGACAGCGCACTTGTGCATTACATGCAATGTAAAGTCACGGGGTAGCCACTGGTGTGAGCCTTCAGCGATCTTGCACTACTCATTTACATGATCTTCACATTTCTGTCTCTTCTGAACCTGTTTTACAACTTGACCCAAACCCAATTACCTAACCTCATTATGCCACATTAAACCCAAATAAGCCCACTAAAAACTGCCATTACTCTGCCGCAAGAGACAGCAAGACCGCACTTGGGCGAGAGAGGAGCTTCCTTAGGAGAGACCGAATGGTTTTCCTTTAAAAGGGCTTTTTACCTTGTATTATCCTATAAAACTCAAATTCAATTCAGTGAACTTTAAAACCAGAGAGCTCAGTGATGAGAGGGTGCATTTCCTAAAAGCACTGTTGGTATTTAGGGGTTGAAATTGAGAAGGCGGACAATGTTTACCAGCAAACCCCATCAACCGAGTTAGTTTCTATACCTAATTTGTAAAAAGAAAAAAAATGTATAACCATGTGAAGTGAATAAGATTTATTCTTTGGTTGAAATACTACATTCTCCCAAAAAACCTGGGGGCTCACATTCATTTTTCTTTTATTACCTTGGCACCTGCTATGCACCTAAATGTTGTTGCAGACAACCATGTGGAATGAGCACCAGCAGGAAACTGTCCCCCCGACACTCTACAGAAAGTGCTCAGCTGCTCAAAGACAAAAAAAAAATCAAAAAAGAAAAAAAAGTCAGTGGAACAAACCCTGCCTCAACATTTACAATGTGCCAGTTAGAACCAAACAACAGCAGGATGTGCCGAAGCCTGTCAGATCCATACAGACCTTACCCTGCAACACTCTGGACAAATGGGATCCACTACGAACATCATGCTAAACTACATCATATTAAAACAGTAAAAACGATAAAAATGGCAAAAGTCCATTTTTCAAAGCATAATATTTAAGAATTGTTTGAGGAGCTTTAGAATATTAGCTGGTTGTTTGGATGGTAGGATTTATTATATCAATAGAGATTATGAACATAACTCTTTGATCCTACATTTAAAAAAAACTTGCCTTTAACTTTCCTCCTTATCAAATGCACTTTTCTCTTATATCCATGTTGAAGTCAAAGTCAATTCTCTCCAGAAAATAAATTTGCTCCACTTTTAGCGAGCATGATCAGCCCTCTCATCTCGGCTGATTCTGTAAACTGACAGCCCTGAGTTGCCCATTTAATTGAACTTGCTTGTGATTTTGCCTATTGAGTCTAATGCCAAATTAAAAGCCGGGAGATTTTAGATACTGTCTGAGCTGAGCTGATCTGAGCTGAGCGCAGTATCGCAGACATCCGCAGGTTGTCTTAAGATCTGGCGTGCCTGCTGACAGCCCGACATTAATCCCTGCTTTTAGAGAGAAATGGCAGGGAAAATTGGATTCATGATGTGTAACATTTTAGCCTTTAAATGGGAGAAATAAGCATCTCCCTGGTAGGTGAGCTGCATCAGACTTTAAACAATGCTCTAGCAGATCCAAGCCAAAACAATTGCTGTTCACTATCACCTAATCTTTACAAGACAGATGAATATAGAGCAGGGAGGAAAAAAGCATAGGAGCCAGGCATTGTGGTTTAAAGGATGATAAGATTAAGGTTATATGTGAAATTTGTCAAGCTCTTATCTGAAATTCAGTGTCTATGAAAAGAATAATAGCCAGCATGTGATGGAATCACATCAAGATGAATTGTTTTCAGGAACAATAAAAAAAGACCCATAAAGGAACCACAACTAACTTTCCATAATTAAATTCATATGAACTTCAAATCATTTGGCTTCAAAGGAGTTTGACGTGACAACTGACGCTTAGCAAGAGATTTAAAAGAAGAACAAAAATAATTTATGTCAATCATCTTTAAATACAAAGCTATTTCACTTTTCCACCAAAAATGTATTTTTTTCCTCTATCTTTTCCTATCATCCATCCATCCATCCATCCATCCATCCATCCATCCATCCATCCATCAACAGTGGAATTTTTCTATGAATTGTCCTCTGAGTGTAACTTAGCCAAAATGTATACCTTAAGTGTTCTGGTGATCAACAGAGCCAAATATGTTAAATCCTTATAGGCTTAAATTCCATGTTCATATGAAGGGTAAAAGATCAGGACCCTGAATTCACACATGCCAATTATCTCTGCAGCTCAGGACCAATTAACTGCTGAACCTGTGCCCCGATACATTCCTGCTCTAATCAGTCAATTATCTAATTACATGAATATTTAAAACAAGCATTTGGAGATGCCAATTAGCAGCGTTGGCTAAAGAGGTGCTGCATATGAAAAAACCGTTTCCCAACAACAGAATGCTTTTTCCTTTAATTGGAGGCGATTTCTGACATTCATTAGTGGAAACTTTAAAAGTTGAAATGATTTCCTTTCTTAAGGATTGGCATCATCGCAGAGCAAAAACCTTTTTTATGTGTGTTTCTTTTTTCCCTCCCTCTCTTTGCCCGGTTAGTTTTTTGTTCTAACGTCAGCGCACAAATTAACAATTACTTTGAGGACCATCCTGCATCTGGACAGCTGTCTTTTCACCACAGGGAACTGTCACAAAATAAAAGAAAAAATGAAAGAAAGAAAGAAAAAAGAAAGAAAGAAAGAAAGAAAAAAAGAAAGAAAGAAAGAAAGAAAGAAAGAAAGACAGGAAAAAAGACAGACTGCATCATAAGCTATTGTAGTTGTCAGCTCGTATGCAGACTTAACCTTTGCCCTATGAAAGTTGTTTTTTCTGCACATGGGGTCTGCTCAGGTAAATCCCTCCAAATCTCTTTCTCTAGCTCTCTCACTCACACACACACACACACAGAAAAACACCAAAGCCCACCAGGTACGCCGCCTTCTGTCACCCAATCCCCCCTAAACAGCACACCTCGCTGCTCAGACCTGCTCCCACCAAAGCTGCAATTATACCAGTGCTGCCTGAAATGCCTTGGGCGCTCGCCCCCCTATTCAATTCTCTCCTTTCTAATTACTACTGCCCTGGGACAGGTGAGAAGTCATGGCTGATACGATCTGCTCTTTTTACCTGTAGCCAAAACACACTTACACATGCTCACACAAACATCTACAGTGGGGACGCCAAGGCACATGCTCAAAGGCACCTCGGGTGGTTATCCTATCTAATTACAATCTTTTTAAAAAATGTAGAGAATTCGCTTTTAGACAAAGTTTAGAGAGCGTTTAGAAAGCTTGGGGGTGTTTAAGTACGGGCATTTCCTATACAAGTACATATTTTTCAAGATAATTTGGCATTATGATTGATACTGATCAATATTAAACATCTATCCCCTTTGATCTGCTTTGCATGCACACAAACTAAAGTTCTAAAAGAAATAAAGATGTTTAAAAAAAACAAGTTATTATCTGGCAATAACTAAACACCTATAAAAAAAAACATATTGAGGATAGTAATATTGATGTCATCCATCTCTGATGGGCACATGACAATTCACATTATTTATTACTAAAAATGTCCTTCATCAAAGCCATTAAAAATGAGAAATGGCACCAGCAACTAAAGTACCAAAGATAAATGGCTTAGCTAGTGCATTCCATAAGAGGTTATTTGAGCAGTGTTGAAAGATATGTAGAATATCCCTCACATGCTACCCGGCTCCACAGGTCATCAGTCAGCCGTGGACCCCTTTCTGACTGATTGCTTCCAAAGGTGACAACAAGCACTTTACAGCACGTAAACAGTGTCTGTGTGATGATCTATCCCAGTGAGTAGTTTGAGAGTAAAAAGAACCATTTGTAGCCGTAATTATCATTTATCACTGGCACAGTCAAAGAGGCTCCAGCTGCACTGTCAAGTAGATACAGGTAGGGATCTTCACATCGTGTACCTGAGAAAAGATTCGAAAAGAAAAAGAAAAAACTTTTTTTTAGGTCTCCTCTATTATTCAGTAATCTGATATTCTTGTCCTTAGGCTCCAAAACAGTAGAGAGCATGTGACACCACATTAACCTCTTCCCTCTACACTGAAGCAGTTGAAAAATCGTAAATGAGAGAGAGCAGATATTAATCTTCACTTCACGGACCATGTAGTCGGAGCTATGCATAAGCCGAGAAAGCAGCGTTTCTCACACACAATGGGGACATGCATCGCTTATTGACAGGTTGCATTAATGTGCAGCATGATCACCTGTGATTATTTCTCAACTGCCGACACTCCCTCCACCCTTCCTCCCAACGCCATGGCACACTTTCTGAACACCTCCTCCCTCTGTGCTTCTTATCTTCTCATATTGTTCTCCGCTTCAATACCTTTGCCGCTGGCGAAGTCTTAACACCACTGCTAAGCCACAGATTAATGATAAGGGCATTACTCTGCTTGTCTCTCCTTTTCTCTCCAGTTACAAAGCCTCTTTCCACTGCTATCCGTCATCTTTTCCAAATTCTGTCCTTTCCATCCTGGTATGAGACACAACTCCACGAACATGACACAGTGAAAGGAGGAAAAAGAGAATGAAAAATCTGAGTACAAGTGAGGGGACGTCAGCCTGCTCACCAGCTGGCTGAGACACAAACTCACCGAAGGCGGCCACTTTGATGAGGATGGCATGTAGGTCACATGATATCATCTCGGAGAGCAGGGACTCTTGGTCCCGGCGCCACAGGTAGGCCAACGGCTGCAAACCAAGTCGCAAACATCTGCGGAGCAGGTGAAAAGGGATGCAAAGTGGTTAATGCTGAATATTTGCCAGGTTCACAAAAAACTTCAAAGCCAGCTGGGCTTGGCACCTTCTCCATTTACAGGAATGTCGACACCCTGACAGACCCACAGCACATGCTCCCACCTGCCACCAGCTACATTCAAGAAGACGAGCAGAAAAAAACCCCAAAGCTGTAGCTTCTTTGTCATGTACAGTAAACTGGTGTGAGACAGGCATAATGACAGCAGGCAACTGGAGCAAAACCTACTGCTGTGCTGGTGTGTCTCCAGAGTACACACAAGGAGACCACCTTCTACAGTCTTTCTTAATAAAAGGAAAGCCTTGGTGTTGTACTTTGTAAATTCTGCAACAGGTCGGTTTTCAACTGATTAGCTTTCATTGGAGTTTAAAGTTAAGAGCTATTTGTTACACCGCGACAAGACTATTTGGCTTTGGGGATATGTGGAATTCAATTGAATTAACCTAAAAATCAAGCAGAATAAATAGAAGCAAGAGTGGGGAAAAAACTGAAGGATAAAACACGAACAGGGATGAGGCAGGCAAGTGAGTGGGACTCACTCCTATTGGAAAGGTCCTTTTTTCAAAGTACAATAAATCTCCTGAAAAATATTATTTTCCTCTTCTTTAAATCACTGGACATAACAAAAACAACCACATCACAAAAGGCAAAGCTAGCCTAAATGAAATGGTGCAAACAAAACAAAAATGTGTGTAGGTGTGCATGTGTATATGTGTAAATCCAGCCCAGTCTTTGTTTGGAACACACAATGAGGTAGGGCTGCAGAGGATACACTCTTTTACTTCAGCGGACCACAGAATGTGTGTTTCTGCAGACGGAGAGTGTGTTGTAAACCTTGAGCGTTTGACTTACACATTTTCCACACGAACCCTCTGGTAATCGGACAGAATCGCCCCAACAGATACTGCGTCGACACCTTCCTTTTCCTGCGGGGCAAAAGAGCAAAACAAAGCAGTAATGATAAGATACCTTAAAAAAGCTGGCTGAGAAAAAAAGCCTTTCTCAACCTGTGCTGTAATCCAAATGTACTTTTGAAGCAAAAGCACAAAAACTCATGTAAACACACACATACATCAACGTAGAAGACAAAGAAAACAAATTCAGGACAGCCTATGCCTTTCATTGGACCACAGTCCTGTGGGGACGATTATGCTCTGGTTGTATAGAGGCCTCTCAGGTCCAGCCCAGATCCCCTGGGGGTTTACGCTCATCACTATGTGAGAAAATTTGTGCGTTTCTGTTTCCACGTGTGTGTCTGCGTGTGTCTGGAGACACGGGCACCACCAAAAGCACTTTCTGGGACCTCATCTGCAGCCTAGAACAGGCAGGAGATGAGTAGGTCTGGCCCCAGCCTCCAGACCCTGCACGCCCAGCCGAGGGATGAAGCCACAGTGACAACTTGATGCAACAACTGAACTTTGTGTCTGTGAGTGGCATGCATCTTTCATATTGCTAAAGGCTAATCTAATTGCTTTTCATATCACATTCATTTGTCAGAAACAGCGGGACAACTGCGTGCTCATAAGATACTGGCACAGCCTTGAGAAGCATTCAATCTTGTTACACAAAAACAGGCCTGATCTAGAGTGACACACACAAACAAACGCACACATGAGCAAGCAAGCGCCTCATGCTGACACACATAAATGCACAGAAGTAAATGCCTCCATCCCTAAGTCTTTCCCCCTCCTGTACCCACACACACCTGCAGATTCATTAGAACATTACATGGGCTGTAATTAGAATAAGAGGCAAGGCTAGGAGCAGTGGAGGGACTCACAAGCCCACACTAAATTACCTTGTAGCCATTATCAATTTCCCTGGCTACTGGTCCTTAAGATAACCCCCCACTCCCTCTCCTTTTGGTCCCTTCCTGCAATTTTTCTCTGCCTGATAAACATGCTGATTAAAGCAAACAGCGTGTAAACCTTTGATACTTTCCTAAATGAAATCCATGCCCTGCCTGGGGGCTGATGCTGAGCTGAAACGCACCGCGCTTCACACACGCAAACACACACGAGCAACTCCACATAGGCGTGCCGGCTAATCAGATAAAGGATGTGCTCTGTGCGTGTGTGGCAATATATTTGTGTGTGGGGCTCACTGTGTCGCAGGGGTTGCCTGGAAGAAAGCTAAAGACGTATAGACAAATGTGAGGCAAGATATTAACTCTCTGACCTACCTTAAACACCAAGAGATCAAAAGAAGGGAATTTACTCCAGTTTTAATATCTCTCCAATGAGTCCGAGAGTGGAATGTATCTTACAGTCAATTCCACTACCCAATGACAGTAATTAAGTCAGACTGATAACATTTCAACCCTGCACAGGGGGAGAGGGGGCTGCAGGCAGAGTCATGTAATTCTAGGTAAGCCTCAAGGCCAACACTCTATTCTAATACAATGATAACCTTTTCACTAAATGCAACTGTCACTCCCTAAAGAGGGAAATGATGAGGTACGGAGCAGAAAAAGAAAGACAGAGAAAAGCAGAGATGATTTACAAATGAGACTGTTGAAGGAGTGTGCAACATCAACACTAATTTAGTCCCTTGGCTTTAAACTTGGCAGGACCTGACAGTACATCAGAGCATCAGAGCAACAACAAACAGCAGCTTCTTTGTGTATTTTTGTCTCTGTCTCCCTCTCTCGCCTTCCTCTCTAAAGGCAGACTATTGTGGGTACTTGGACCTGTGAGGTTCAACCCTGCCTTGTCTAATTAAATGGATCCTCTTTTTTCCTGGCTCTCATTGCATGGCATCGCACAGCCTTCCCGCTGCTAATGATAACATGAGACAAATTTCTCACAATCTCTGTGTTTGCCATGGTGACTCTCTCTACTGGACCATTTGGCAACCGCTTTAGGAAACGATTATTTTTGGATACGGCCATGTTTTTGTCGTTATTATAGCTATCACCAGTAGACAGGCAAAAATGAGGGGGCAGCTATTGCTGCTCAGGATGTGTTATTACAAATTGTAGCCATTCTTTCTCATCCTCTGTGGGAAAGAATACAGTAAATTACTGTAAAGAATACATAAATCTGTATTGACAGATCATTGAGGAATTACAGATTTAGTTTTTTCTCATGGCTGAAAATCTTACCAAAATGATTAATGATAGTGAAAATATTGACAAAAACAGCAGAAGCTCAGGACACATGAACGATAAACATAATAATAATGGTAATGAAATCTTTATGGAAACTATCTGGGTCCATACAGCTTTGGTTATGTAGGGAATCTGAGTAAATTAATTGGAAATCATGGCAGAAGGCCTTTGACCCCCTCAAAAAATAATTCTTGTAGAATGTTGCTGTGAGATCTGAGGAGGGGGTTTTCTGTCTGTACATGCGGCAACCCCACCCCCCAACATGAAATTAGCCGTGTTCTTTACAAGAAGCCTTACCTGATTCAAAAACCTGAGGCCCCATATCAATTTATGCCCAGAAGGGGACTACTTCTGGCAACACATTGTGCAACAGTGCAAAGCCTCTTCCAGCCCTGTCAGAGGGAGACTAAACAAAGGCATGCCCTGCTTTCCCCTGTCCTCTCCAGCAGGCAGAGAAGCTATTAATGAGGATGTATGGCCCAGAGCAATGGAAGTCCTTAGTCCCCCCAGCCATGTCCATCAGGGCACTTAGCCCCATGCAGTCATTAACTTCTGTTACTAATTGTCAAATTCATTAAACTAATCCTTCCCCCACATCCGGATGTCTCCTGTGGAAATGGATGGAGAGGGCTGAGTTATTAAGATGTCAGCTGCGGAGAAGATTAAGGCCAGCAGACATGCTCCACAAAGAAACGATACGGCCATTAAACTCTATATCAAGGTAGCGTGCGTGATATACTTTGTAATTATATATACATTCATCTTTGTAAGGGAGTAAAAGACTGGTTCAAATGTATTCACAGTCACAGACATGCCTTCAGTTGAGAAATCTATCTGCCTTAAAGATGTATTGATGGAAATCGTAAAAAACATTTTACTTGAAAATGCAGCTATTTTTATCATCTCTAAGTCGTGAAAAGTACTTACCCGTGGCACATATTCACTCAGGGTAATCTTGAACCGTAGAAGCCATTAACAGCAACCAAGGCAATTAGAAAGCCATAAAATATTTAAAATTCAATATTCATATTCATATGGAGTACAGCAGAACCCTCATTAACTCTCTCTCAATGGCTGTCACAATGAGGTCTTAATTATACACCCTAACAATACAAAGCTCCAATTTGTAAAATGGTGGGTTTCCAAAAAGCATGCTTCGGTCTGTTCTGACAATCGGAGCCTTGAGCAGCCAGGTCTTTTACAGACACAAAGCCACCAACGTCCATTAAAAAAATCCCTCCAAAAAGCCGCTCCAAAGGTGTTGACTTGAACACTGTATTATGTTGTTGCCTCTTGTAGGCAGTGCACTTGTTTGTTATGGCAGGGAGGTGGGGAAGAGGACAAGGTGGGGAAATTAATCAAAGTGCTTTGAATGACAGCTTGCTCAAGGGCACTGGGGTACAATGCCATATTCTCTGATGCTGCAATCACAACGTCACATCATCAACGTGTCTGACCCCTCAGCCTTCAACAATGCTCCTCTTCCTCTTTAACACCGCTCTCCGTCTCTCCTCCTCTTTATCCCTCCCTTCCTGGGTCCATCAAGTAAGTGACTGGATGTGACATGGTTTTAATGTTCCCCCCATCAGATCAGCTCTGGGCCTGTTGTAATGTAATGGGATTGTTCTCCCTTATTCACAGACAAGGTGGTAACATCGAGAGGGGGGGGTTTGTTCTCAGATAAAGTAGATGCAGTACACAGGATAAGGCCTGCTTGGGTCAAGCGGGAGTGTTTAATGTAATGCTGACATACTCCTAGGGTGTGATGGGGTGTCCTAACAGCTCAGACATGCCAAACTGACAGGATGCTTAGTGTGAGGTAAGATGGAGGAGGCTGCTTATTTATTCCTTATTACCATTCTGTATGGTCTAAGATGTCAACCCCGGCTGCAAAAGAAACGACACACTGATCATTGTTTATAAAGGCATAAATTACACCCAATTTTTAGAAAATCCTGCCATAATAATAGAATATCTAGTGGGGATAAAACTCTATGAAGCATGTCTAATATGATCCTCAAAATAACAAATGGACGTGCAGGTGTGACCAACGTCTTTGTAAAGCAAACGTGCAAATTCTTGTTGCTGAAGTCCTTGAGGAAAAATTCCCTTTGGTAATTCGGTGATGGCATGTGTTTGAAGCAGCTGCTGAAAGACGGGCTCTTCCTTTGTGCCCGTGGACATGCAGGCAAGATGACTCAACACGTGTCAGTCTGCAACCACATACAGCGCTGGAACTACAAAAACAAAGCTCCCCCTAAGCCAGCTGCTCATGAGCCTAAAGGCCTCCACTGGTTGGCAAGATGATGCAGGTCAGAGTCATAACGGTCGGGGGGGGGGGGGGGAGGTGTGACCATCTCACTAAGGACGTGACCTGACTAGGGTTGTCACGATACTAAAATTTTCAACTCGATACCGATACTCAGGAAAATACTCGATACTCGATACCATTTTCGATACCACAAGGAATAAAAAAAGACCCCCAAATTTAAATGAATTTTGACAGGTTAGTGTCTTTCATTTCAAACTGACCTGTTACTGATGGTATCGTGACTGGTGGCCTGCATTAATAACCCTAACCCTGACCCTAACCCTCCACTCTTCATAATTGTGAGAAATAAATATTTTTGGGTTAAACTTGTTTGGACTTATTGTACAAACCTATTTAACATACACTATTTTAACATAATAATATGCATAGAGTTTAATTAAGTGTTTGAAGGATTAATTTCACAATTTTTAAATGAATCTCTATATTGCCATGTGGCAATTAGGATTTTCTTGCCTGGAATCTTCCTATTGTTAATGTAACTATAATGGCCGACTTCGATGTGGGCGGAG